CTTCTCATCCTCAGGGTGGAAATAGTCCCAGACTTGGAGGTCTGAGATGTGCTTTGCTGTGCTGCTCAGATTCCAATCTGCCTTTACAGGCACACCCTCAGCATCTCTCCACTTGAGCCTGTCTCTGAGCCACTCAGGACTGTACCTCTTGGTGCCAACCTCTAAGCCCATCTCCTTAGCCCACCTCTGAGACAGGAGTTCTACAAGCATCCCTGAGGCTGGATCAGGTCTGTAGACCAGGATCCCATTCCTGACTGCAGCTCTGAGAACCCACTCATCTTTGAGATTCTTCTCAGCCATGGCTTCTTGAGCTGTCACAACTGCAGTGACAATTTGTAAGGGGCCAACTTTCCAAACTGAGTGCTCAGCTTTTCTTTGGGCCTGCCACTCAGCTCTGAGGTCAATGAGCTTGTGTCTCACTAAGGCCTTGAACTGCTTAGCAAAATCAGTGTCAGTGATTTGCAACTTAGAGGTGCACTTCTCAGCCACAAGGCAGCTTAACTGATTTGCTAAGGCCATGGACTCAGTGGCTGAGTCACTGAAGACTGAGGAGAAGCAATCCCTCATCCAAATGGATGCAGGGTACTGGGCAGCTTGAGCCTGGATGCTCCAGCTGAGGATAACTGAGTCCACATTGGCTGCAGGCTGCTGCATGATCTCAATCTTAGACATGAGCTCAGGGTGGGTCTGCCTCAGCCTCCTGTAGGGCAGCATGATTCTCCCAGCTGAGTTTCCCTGAGTCCTGGTGATGACCTTCTCACCCACTTTGAAGGTTTCATCACTGAGCCATGTGCCACTCTCTGAAATGTTGCTCAGTCTGGCCCATTCACCTGGCACAACTAACAGCCCTTTGCCAACTGAGCCAATGATCTCCTGAGACTCATCAGCATAAACTGAGTGCAGGAGCTGCCTGGCTTCATAAGTGATCCTGTATCTATCCTCCCCTGAGATTCCAATGAGAGTTGTGGATCCTGGCTGAGGCAAAGCTGGCTTGTCTGCTGGTGCTGAGGGCTGAGTTGAGCTTGCTGCATCTTTCTGAGTGCTGGCTTTTGCATCTTGCTCAGGGCTGGCTGGGACCATTTGCTCAGCATCTCCTGGAGCAGGGCTGGCTGAGCCAAAGAGACAATCCTCAGATTGGCTGGGTGGAGCTGAATCAAAGCTGGCCTGCTTCACCAGAGAATCTTGCTCAGGTTGGCTGGCTGGGGGGCTGCTGGCTGCTGATGCAAAGCTGAGCTGCCTCACTACTGACCCCTTGGGTGATGACTCAAAGCTCAGCTTTCTTTGTGGCTGAGGTGTGGCTGGTACAAGAGGCCCTACCATCATGTCAGGCCCATGCTCTGAGTGCATGGCTTCACTGATGGCTACCCTGACTGAAGAGTAGTCCTTGACATCAGCTGAGGCATGCAGTTCCTCCTCAGCAAAGACAGCTCTTCTACCTGTAGCCTTAGCCCACAAAGGCACCTGATCAGAGAATCCAATGGCCAACTGAGACCTTGCTGAAATGAACTGGGCTGGGCTGCTGAGCCTGTTGCTGTCAGCTAATGTCTGCTGAGATGCACATGTTGCTAGCCACAGTGTGTGGTCAAACTCTTGCCAGGTCAGCTTGGTCCTGGTTTGGGATTCTACCTGAGAGATGTTTGTAACTAGCTCAGTGGACATGTACTTAGCATCAAGCCATTTGACCAGCTGAGTCTTAATTTTTTTCTTGTAACCATCACTCTTCAAGATAGTGCTTTTCCTGACTTCTCTTTCCTTAGCATCTGCCAGAAGCTCAGCTCTTTCTATAGCAGAAATATCACTCAGCTGAGCTTGGTTTCTAAGCTCATTGGCTGTGAGCTGCAGCCTGCCAAGAAACTCAGCAAGCAAATCTTGCTTAGATATGGTGTGACCACATGCTCTTTCAATGCTGAGCCACTGCTTCATTTTTGAGATGATGTCTGAGAATGGAACCTTTCTGCCACCTCCTGAAGCTCTTTTCCTCTTGGAGGTCTGATGCACAGGCTTGCATTTGAGGTCCTTCTCAGCTACAAGAACTTTCCAATGCTCTTCCTTAGTCAAGATGTTCTGAAGAGATCTCTTTGCAATGCCAAACTTCTGCACCTGAGCTTTCCAGTAATCTTGTAAACTGCTGAAAGAGTCTTTGGCTGCCTTCATCTCCTCACAGTATTTCAGCTTAGTAGCAGCTGAGACTTCAACTCTTTTCATTTGTGAGCCTGGCACTTTTCTGTTTGTTGACTGAGGGCTTGCTTTTGGAGATCTTTGAGGCTCTCTTCTCATCAGCTTCCTCTTTTTTTGTGCTACATCAACAAGCTCATGTTCAGTTGTGGCTAGCTCAGCTTCTAACTCAGCATGCTTTCTGAGTGCATCATTCCTTTCCTGGAGAGCATCTTGCTGGAATCTGCTGAGCCTCTGCCTCTTGAAAGGCTGAGCTTGCAGATGTAATGGCACTGGCTGAGCTTCTTTCTTCTGGTTTGCTGAGCCAAAGAACTTGTTTATGCCATACTGGACCTTTCCTGAGCTGGGTGGTGAAGACTCAGGGCTGCCAGTGGCATCCTTCTCAGGTGTAGCTTCAGCTCCTCCACCTCTAGCTCTGGCTTGCTGAATCACCTTAGTCAGCAAGAAGCCAACATGAAGGTAGCCCATGAGTGGCTGAGTTACTCAATAATATGAATGTTTGGATGGTACTCTATTGTGCCCAACAACTTTTGGGGTTGAAAAAAAACAAAAACCCTTTCTCCACCTTTCCTTGAGTAAAGCTGGTCCATTTGTTTTAGAAATAGATATTTGTGTTAAAGCTTTAAAATGCAAGGTTTTCCAAATAATTAGATGCCTTATTAAACCCTTATTAAAAAACAGCATCCAGACAATTTTTCAAGGTGGTACCCCATGAGTGGCTGAGTTACTCAATAATATGAATGTTTGGATGGTACTCTATTGTGCCCAACAACTTTTGGGGTTGAAAAAAATCAAAAACCCTTTCTCCACCTTTCTCTGAGTAAAGCTGGTCCATTTACTTTAGGGAACCATATTTGTGTTAAAGCTTTTAAATGCAAGGTTTTCCAAATAATTAGATGCCTTATTAAACCCTTATTAAAAAACAGCATCCAAACAAATTTTCAAGGTTGTACCTCATGAGTGGCTCAGTTACTCAATAATATGAATGTTTGGATGGCACCCTATTGTGCCCAACAACTTTTGGGGCTGAAAAAAATCAAAAACCCTTTCTGCACCTTTCTCTGAGTAAAGCTGGTCCATTTACTTTAGAAAGCCATATTTGTGTTAAATCTTTAAAATGCAAGGTTTTCCAAATAATTAGATGCCTTATTAAACCCTTATTAAAAAACAGCATCCAAACAATTTTTCAAGGTGGTACCCCATGAGTGGCTCAGTTACTCAATAATATGAATGTTTGGATGGTACTCTATTGTGCCCAACAACTTTTGGGGTTGAAAAAAAATCAAAAAACCCTTTCTCCACCTTTCTTTGAGTAAAGCTGGTCCATTTACTTTAGGAAACCATATTTGTATTAAAGCTTTAAAATACAAGGTTTTCCAAATAATTAGATGCCTTATTAAACCCTTATTAAAAAACAGCATCCAGACAATTTTTCAAGGGGGTACCTCATGAGTGGCTCAGTTACTCAATAATATGAATGTTTGGATGGTACTCTATTGTTCCCAACAACTTTTGGGGTTGAAAAAAATCAAAAACCTTCTCCACCTTTCTTTGAGTAAAGCTGGTCCATTTACTTTAGAAAGCCATATTTGTGTTAAATCTAAATGCAAGGTTTTCCAAATAATTAGATGCCTTACTGAACCCTTATTAAAAACAACATCCAGACAATTTTTCAAGGTTGTACCCCATGAGTGGCTGAGTTACTCAATAATATGAATGTTTGGATGGTACTCTATTGTGCCCAACAACTTTTGGGGTTGAAAAAAAACAAAAACCCTTTCTCCACCTTTCCTTGAGTAAAGCTGGTCCATTTGTTTTAGAAATAGATATTTGTGTTAAATCTAAATGCAAGGTTTTCCAAATAATTAGATGCCTTATTAAACCCTTATTTAAAAAACAGCTTCCAGACAATTTTTCAAGGTGGTACCCCATGAGTGGCTGAGTTACTCAATAATATGAATGGTTGGATGGTACTCTATTGTGCCCAACAACTTTTAGGAGTGAAAAAAATATTTATCCACCTTTCTTTGGGCAAAGGCTCCAGCATGTCTGAGATGTCCAAGCTCTGAAGGACATTGAGTTCCTCAGCCTTGTGGTGGAGAGCTTTCTGCCTGCTGAGAGCTCCTTTGAAGTAATGAACTGCTGAGCTGTAGTAATTCTGAGCCATTGCACCAAGCTTGTCCTCAAAGGATTTGCTGAGCTTCTTCATCTCCTAGCTGGTTCAATGAAAGATCCCAAAAGATATAATTAAACATAATTTAACTATATAATGAATTGTAATTATAATGAGTTTACCTCAAGCAGCTCAGATGCACAAAATTATACTCAAGTGCCAACAAGCTTCATCCCTGAGCAGCTGCATCTTAGTGACCAGGGCACTCAAGTTACTGAGTGGCTTCAAAAGGATGCTCAGGGTGAAGAGGAGCAAAGAAGTGAATGCAAGCCATCCCTGAGTTTTGCAACATTGCATTCATGTTACAAGAGTCACCTTTACCTACATAATAAGAAACTTGTTGATAAAATAGAAAATTGAAAACATGAAAATAGGCAACACTAAGCTGAGCCCAAGGTCAAGCTCAGCTGAGGAAAAAATAGGATTGAGGTCCTTCAGCCTCACTGCCAGGTCAATAGCATTGCAACCTGAAGTGCAGGCTTGGTGCAAAACAAAAATACACTAAGAAAAGAGCTAGTTGCCTAATTAATTAAGTAAACCACACCAAATGATTACTAACTAATTAATTAACTAATTACTTACTGGTGTTGGATACTGAGGCAGACTCTTTTTCCAAAAACGCTGCTCAGGTAAGCTGAGCCCTTGAATTGTCTCAGAATTCATTCTGAGCCTGTAGATCACTGAGGTGCCATTCCACCTCAGCTTCAATGTTCCACTGAGAAAGTAGGTCAGGCTCAGCCACATCTGAGAGGTCTATGCTGCTAAGCACATTGAGCCTCTCAGCCTTGGTTCTGAGTCCTACTTCCCTGCTATGTGCACTGAGCCAATGTTGCTTAGCACAGCTGAAAGCATGTGCTGAGGCCAGCAACTCATTGATGTCATTCTCAGGTTGGTGGTGGGCCCAAAGTACTGAGAGCTCAGGTCGCTGAGTGTTCTCCACCACCAGGGTCTCCTGCCTGAGCTCTTCATCTGAGGCAGTCCTGCTGTAGAGTGCCTGAGCTGGCTGAAAAGGTTTCAAGAAACCAACAGACCTCAACAAAAAACATCCAACAACATGTTCCTCTTCACAAAAAAAGGAAACCAAATGAATTCAAGTACCCTGAGGAATCGGTTGTACATGACACCCTCCCTGGTGGCTAAGATAGCAGTGCTCAGCAGCAAGTCCCACTCTGTGAACTGAGCTTCTTGGTCCCAGTGGGAGACAGGTCCACTGAGAAGTGCCCAGCGCTTCTTCACTAAGAATTCTGAGAACAAAGCTGCACCACCTGCCTGAGGGTCAAACTCTTCAAAATGCTGCTTGAGGTGCCTCAGGGTGTCCCAGGTACTTCCTCCAGTCATATCCATCCTGAGCTCCATGGCCCTGACCTTCTCTGAGATGAAGTCAAGCCTCTGCTGAGAATGATCAGAAGCATGCCAAAGGTCATCTCTGAGGTTCTGCAGAACCTGCACCAAGGTGCTGAGCTCAGTCTTGATGCCCAGGAGGAAGATGAAGCAAAGAGCCAAGACTGAGAGCCCAGCCTGGTGTTGTTTTGTGCTTCCATGCAAAAAAAAAAAGTAGTTTTTACCATTGGCCTAAGCAATTTTTTACAGCTGATCCAAGTATGGTACTGCTTGCTGTCAAGAAGCAAGCTGGGGTGCATGAATGACATCTGATAGCTGGCTGAGCCTAGCCTGTAGGTCCACTGAGGTACCACCTAGGGCCACCATCTGAGGAATGAACAAAAACATGTTGAACCATGCAATCCAAGGACCCAAAAACAAGTTGTTATGTAGCTGAGATGCTAGCCAAGCTGATGCCTGTGCTGCAAGCAAGAGCCATGATGCAAACCATCTTCAGCTGAGGTCCCATGGCTCCAAGAGAAGAACTGATGACTGATGCTGATGAAGGTTGCTGATGTGCTGAGATCAGAAAAAGCTGCTGAGGCACATGGTGCTCAAGAGACTGAGATGCTGAAGACAGACTAGCTCAAAGGCTGACATCATATTTGTGCTACTGTGTCTAAGACCAGGTTTATCTCCTGCAAAATCATTAGTTAATTAATTAATTATTTATTTAATTAATTAGCAAACAACAATAAGGTGCAAGCTCAGGAACTTGAGAGGCTCAGCCCAGATGAAGCCACCAAGCTGAGGATCACAAAGGCCTTCAGCTGAAGATTCATGGCTGTAGCCTTGGCTGCCATGGAAGCACATGGAAACACATGCCATTAATTAATTGATTATGTTTTAATTCATCCTATTTTTTTAAAAAAAAAATAGAAACAAAAACATGACTAAACTTGATTGAGAAGCCAGGAAGCAAATGCAGTTGCAACTGGGTGCTCAAAGTGCTGAAGCTTGGATGTTGGATGCTGCTGTGGTAATTAGCATGGAGGCTCAGAACAGCCCTAGATGAAAACTTAGAAAGGAATGTCACCAACTTAGGATGGCCAACACTCAGTGCCAAGGCTTAGTAGTGGCTGCAGCCAACCTAAGTATGCCTAGTATGCTAAGTTATATAAATTCTACTTTAGATAGCCTTTCCCATGTGTGGCCTAGATCCTTAGCTAAGCATTAATTAGTAGTGACAACATCCTCCCCTGATCATGCTAAGTCAAATCTGAGTGATTGCAGCCAGCTCCAAGCCACTTTTTCATCCAGTGCATCTGAAATATGATGCTGTTGAAGAGCTGATGCATGCTGAGAATGCATCAAGTAGACAAAAAATCATGACCAAGTCATGGCTGAGGGTTGCTTGGGCTGTGCCAAGCTTCTAAAAAGTAGAAGTCACCTAAGCCCCATCAGAAGTGCATCTGCTGAATCTTACTGTGCTTGCTGAGATGATGTAGCCCTGAGACTTTTCTTCACATCTTCAGGTCCTGCCAGGGGGAACAGTATAAGGACAAGGTCAGCTACATGGGCACTGCACTAAGAAGAACCATTACAATGCCCAACACTAGCCATTACTTATGCTAAGTAACTAAAGTAAACAATGGCAACAACAACAACAACAACAGAAACAGCAGGAGCATTGACATATTTTCCCTGCCAGCTGCTTGCAATGGCTTGTGATGTTTCCAAAAATAAGGTAATCTGTTAATTACCTAGGTTCATCGAGTGTTCATCCTCAGGAATTACCTGAGTATTCCTCAGGCTTCTCAATCCTTGGCTTCTTGCTGAGACCAGGAGGCTCAGAAACTAGATCAGAAGGAATGGGCTGCTGAGCATCATTCTGCCTTTTCTGATGCAGCTCCAACAAAACCTGAGGGCTTAGACCAAGAGCTTCCATCTGACTGAGAATCTGCTCAGCCTGCTGTTCTTTTACCTTCATCAGTTCCTCCTGAGCCTTTGCCATCTCTTCCTCCTCCTCCTTCTTCTTAGCCAGGAAAGCATGAATCCTTTCCTGAGCTGCAAGGATGCAATTCCTGAAGTCAGTCAAGACATTTTGCTCCTTAGCCATCTGCTCAGCATCTTTGAAGATCCTCTGCAGAGTGGCATCCTGAGCCTCATAGGCTTCCTCAACAAGCAGAAGGTTCTGAGAGAGGATGGCTTCCAACTGCTCCACATTTGAGGCACCAGGACTAAGGTCAATCTCCTTCAGCTGATTGATAGCCTGGCTGATGCCATTCTCAGTGTCAATCTTAGCAAGCAATGACTTGCAGTACCCCTGAGCAAAGCTGGGGTCATCAATCTTAGCAGAGGCAGCAGCTTCAGGTGGCTGAGAAGGTTCAGCATCAGCTTCAGCTTGAGGTAGCTCACAAGAAGGAAGCTCAGCAGGCTTAGGAGGATTCAGTTTGTGCTTGAACTGAGATGTCCAGTAAGGTGTTGAGATGATTTTTTGCCAAGGCAATGGAGCCATGTTGAGAACCACCTGATAATACTGAGCAATGACTCTCAGAGGCCACCCATTGACATCCTGCAAGGTTGCAAAAGATGTGAACTTAGTAATTAATTGGTTAATTATATAATTGATGAAGACTATGCACCCAAGCTAAGAAATACTGATCAACAATTTCATGCACCCATGTTCCAACCCATCTCCTTGCAGGTATTGCAACCATTCTGAAATGGGATCCTGCTGAGTTTCACCTTAGCATGGCACTGAGGACAAAGAACATCAGGCTCTCCATCATACCGAGGGTAGCTCAGGATCTTCTCAGGATTTGCTCCAGGACCAAATAGGTCCTCCACTGAGGGAAAGCTTTGTGGGATGAGCTTGAGCTGAGGATAGCCACCCCTGACAGTAAACTCCATACCAGATGGGACCAAGTCTGAGTAATCCTTTGTTCACTTTGCCATGGCTCAGTTACTGAGTTGCAGCTGAGCACATAGGCAGATAGGGTGAACTATGGGCTTGAGTTCACCAAGCAGCTGAGGAATCACACAAGCATGCATTGCTGAACAAAACTGAGCACAAGTCCAGGACCATTGGCAAGCTGAGAACCAACCCCACAGCCCCAGAACCAACCCTCAGTCCTCTAAGCCTCTAAGCTTCTCAGCCTTCTTCTTCATCTCCAGACCTTCTTCCAGTATCTGAATTGCCATCCTTACTGAGAGACCTTGTCTTGCAAGAAACAGAGAAAGCTGGCTTTGCTTCTCTTCTTCAGAGGTCTTATCTTCCTTGAGTCTTTTCTCAGCATGACCACCATCCTCAGCATTGCCATCATTCTGATGCTTTCTTTTGAGATGAGTGTTCTCTGTGAGCATCACCACATCCTCAGGTCCTGCCAGGTGGAACAGTATAAGGACAAGGTCAACTACATTGGCACTGAACTAAGAAAAACCATTACAATGTACTAATTAATTAATTAATTACTTACAAGTAATTCTTGGAAAACTAGTTCAAAAAAACAATGTGATTAACAACAGAAACACCTCAGCACATCAAATGCATTTTGCCCCTTCAGCTGCTTGCCATGGCCTGTGGTGGCACAACTTAGTCTCAGCTAAGATACTTTAAAAAAATACCTGAGTCTTTTGCTCAGGCTTCAAGCTACTCAGGCTTCTCCTCCTCAACTTGGACATCCACCATCTCAGAATCCTGATGCTCTCCAATTTTTGCCTTCTTGGTGCTTGGACCAGACTCAGCACTGGCAGCCTCAGAAGGAATGGGCTGCTGAGCAGCATTCTGCCTTTTCTGATGCAGCTCCAGCAAAGCCTGAGGGCTTAGACCAAAAGCTTCCATCTGACTGAGAATCTGCTCAGCCTGCTGTTCTTTTACCTTCATCAGTTCCTCCTGAGCCTTTGCCATCTCTTCCTCCTCCTCCTTCTTCTTAGCCAGGAAAGCATGAATCCTTTCCTGAGCTGCAAGGATGTCCATCCTGAAGTCAGTCAAGACATTTTGCTCCTTAGACATCTTCTCAGCATCTTGTAGGAGCATCTTCATAGTCTCATCCTGAGCTGCATAGGCATTGTCAAGGAGCATAAGCCTCTGAGAGAGGATGACTCCCAGTCTCTCCAAATCTGAGCCATCAGAACCAAGGTCCATATCCTTCAGCTGAGAGATGGCAGCTGCCATGCTGTTCTGAGGGTCAATATGAGCAAGAACTGACTTGCAGTACCCCCCAGATAAGAAGAGCTGAGCCTTCTGAGCAGCTGCAGCCTCAAGTGCCTGCTCAGGTTCAGGATGCCCAGGTGGCTGAGCAGTTTCAGCATCTTGATTTTTCTGAGAAGGAGGAGGCTCACTAGGCTCAGCTGGCTGCTGCTTGTGCTTGAACTGAGCTGTCCAAAAAGATCTGGAGATGCGCTTTTGCCAAGGCAATGGAGCCATGTTGAGAACCACCTGATAATACTGAGCAATGACTTTCAGAGCGCACCCATTGACATCCTGCAAGGTTGCAAAAGATGTGAGGAAAACTTTCAATCAGACATTGAAACAAAGTAATTAACTCATTAATTGGTGAAAACCCTGCACCCAAGCTAATAAATACTGAACAACAATTTCATGCACCCATGTTCCAACCCATCTCCTTGCAGTCTTGGCAACCATTCTGAAATGGGATCCTGCTGAGTTTCACCTTAGCATGGCACTGAGGACAAAGAACATCAGGTTCTTCATCATAGCGAGGGTAGCTCAGGATCTTCTCAGGATTTGCTCCAGGACCAAATAGGTCCTCCACTGAGGGAAAGCTTTGTTGGATGAGCTTGAGCTGAGGATAGCCACCCCTGACAGTAAACTCCATGCCATTTGGGATCAAGTCTGAGTAGTCATTGGTGCGCCTTGTCATGGCTCAGTTACTGAGTTGCAGCTGAGCTCAAATGCAGATAGGGTGAACTATGGGCTTGAGTTCACCAAGCAGCTGAGGAATCACACAAGCATGCATTGCTGAACAAAACTGAGCACAAGTGCAAGACCATTGGCAAGCTGAGAACCAACCCCACAGCCCCAGAACCAACCCTCAGTCCTCTAAGCTTCTCAGCCTTCTTCTCCAGACCTTCTTCCAGTATCTGAATTGACATCCTTACTGAGAGACCTTGTCTTGCAAGAAACTGAGAAACCAGTCTTTCCTTCTCTTCTTCAGAGATCTTAAGTTCCATGG